TAAATGCTGGAGAGTATAGAGAAAAGGGAACCCGCCTATACTACAGGTGGGAATGTAAATTGATACAATCACTATAGAAAACAGTATGGAGGTTCCTTAAAAAACTAAAACTAGAACTACCATAGGATCCAGCAATCCCAATCCCACTCCTGGGCACATGTTTAGAGAAAACCATAATCAAAAGAGATACATGTATCCCAATGTTCACTGCAGCAATATTTACAAGCCAAGACATGGAAGCAACCTCTATGTCCATCAACAGCTGAATGGATAAAGAAGATGGGGTACATATATATTGTATATATGTACAATGGAATATTACTCAGCCATAAAAAGAATGAAATCATGCCATCTGCAGCAACATGTATGGGCCCAGGGATATCATACTAAGTAAATCAGACAAAGACAAATATCATATGATATCACTCATGTGGAATCTAATTTTTTTAAATGATACAAATGAACTTATTTACAAAACAGAAGCAAACTTACAGATTTCAAAAACAAACTGATAGTCACCCCAGGAAAAACACAGGAGGGATAAATCAGGAACCTGGATGAACATACACACATTACTCTATTTAAGACAGAAAACCAAGAGGGACCTATTGTATAGCACTGGGAACTCTACTCTGATTACCGGTGTGAGAAAAGAATCTAAAAAAGAATGAACATATGTAAAACTGAATGGCTTCACTATATAGCTGAAAGTAACACATCATTGTAAATCAACTATAATAAATTTTTTTTTTTAATTAAAATGCCTCCCCCCCGCCCTCAAAAGTACTTTGAAACTTCATAAGCAGTCACTGGTTAAGTACCCATGTGTTCAAGTGATACAGAAACCTATCGCTTTATAATCCTCTCCTATTTATCTGTCAGTTATTTGTTCAATGGCATCACTATGTACATGAATGGGAAAAATAAATAAATAAATAAAACAAGTGGTGATGAAAAGCTACAAGAGGAACAAATTAGAACTCAAGTATATACAACTTTGTTACACTGAATTTTAAGTCAAAGGATAAAAAGACCAATCTATGTTACAAAACTCTGAGGCTCCAAATACAGAGAATCCTCAATGTAAGAGGTGTGTCAATAGGGCATAATGTCCAAATATGGAATGTTGTAAAGCCCCAAGCAAACAATATAGGGAGAAAATTCCTAGGGCAGAAACTCATGACTGTTAATTCAGGAAACCCTGTTTGAAAGAATTTCTACATACTTAAGAGCTTCTAAAGTTGGGAATGTAATCTCAAATGTTAAATGTGTTAAGAGAGCAGGATTGGCAAACCATGGCCCACAGATCATATCCAGTCTGCCATCTGTACAGAATGATTTTTACAATTTTAAATGAATTTTTTGGAAAAAAAAAATTTTTTAACATTTCATGACAAATGAAAATGACATGAAGTATAAATTTCAGTGTCCACAAATGAGGTTTCATTGGAACACAGCCACATTCTTTCATTTACAGATTGCTTATGGCTGCTTTGGTGCTGCAGTGGCAGAGTTCAGTGTCTGGGACAAACACCACATGGCTTGCAAACCCCACAATGATATTTACTAACTGATCCTTCACAGATAAAGTTTGCTAGCCTCCTGGCTAGAGAGGGAAAAGAATGACCACACAGACAAGCGCTATTCACACCATGAGGCTGGTCTGTGAGAAGATTTCAAGTCATAGATTTATGGCTACAAGGCACCTTTGATTATATGATGGAAATAAAATGGGAAAGACCTCTTCCCATTTTGGTTTCCCAATAGCATGAACCAAATCTTACCCTCCTACCTTAGACAATCAGAAAGCCTGAGTAAATATGTGAAACAACTGTTTTCAAACACACCAGGCAGCACAGGACTACAACCCTGAGGGAAGGGAAACAAATAAACTAAGCCTTAAGACTGTCCTGGCCTTCTGCCTAGAGGCACATTCCAGACTGCAGAGGGGGCAGGGGATTCTAAGCAGGGCACAAATGCTTCCCTGAGCTGAAAAGACAGACGACTGGAGATCAGGAAGTCTGAAGCAGCTGAAAGCTGCAGCACAAACTTCTGGAGGTGAGAGAGAAAAAAAGAGCTCCAAAAATATGCAGAGAATCAACGAGTCTTTGTTAAATATTAATATTTGCATGTATAAGGCGAAACTCCAGGAGGCTAGGGAAATGACCCAGGAGCTGTGAAAAGAGCTCATGTGCGGCTAGGAATTGTCTTGCCAAACTGGAGAGTCTTCACTGATTATACATAGCACTCAGTAAAGACCCCACATGGGCCATACCTCAGTTGTGGAGCTGAACTATCCTGGAAAAAAAAGCTACTTGAGACTGCATGAAGCTTAAAAACAAGACTTGAAAGGATCAAACTGAACTACACATAAATTAACCGGCGACCAGAACAAAGCCCAACAATCCTTAATGAAGGCAACAAAATCTAGGCATCCAACAACAAAAAATCCGTAATGTCCAGCATTTAATAAAAACTTAACAGACATGCAAAGAAGCAAGAAAATGAGACCATAACGAGAAAAAAAAACAGTGAACAGAAAGAGATCCAAAAATTAAAAAGATGATCAGTGGACAAGGATATCACACAGCTATTATAACTATGTTCAACTATTCAAGCAGCCTTGCTCAATCAGGGTTCTGCAAGAGAATTAAGCACTACAAAAAAAGTTATTTGAGGGATTATTTTCTCAATTATCTCAAGCATGGTACACAGCAAGAACCATTCCAAATGCACAGAAATTCATTCACCACATACAACAGGCAAGGCATTAGACTCAATTCTCGAGGAACTCAGCTGAGAGGGGCTGGATAAGAAAAATACATAAACATAATGAGGAAAGAAACAGAAGATATATTTAAACAAACGAAAAAAACCAGGTCTACAGAAGGAGGAAAAACTGTAAGGTCTGAAATGAAAAATTCATTGGATGGGATTGACAGCAGATTGAACAACTGCAGAAGAAAAGGTTAGGGGACTTGAACATATAGGAGTAAAAGGCATCCAAGTGAAGCACACAGAGGGGAAAAAAAAGTAAATTGAGATAATAAAATTTAACATCCAGGCTGCTTTGCTACCAAGCATTTACTCAGAATAAAATAAAAGATTTCCCACTAAATATGAATGTTTGTATAGACAGTCTCTTACTATCTGAAGTTACAAATGATAAATAAAAGAAATTCCCCAACTTGAAAGTATTAACAAGGATATGAGATAGTACTATAGCATCAAAACCCACAGAATAAGTGCTGTAGTAATTTTAATAGGCATTCAAACAAATGTGTGTGCTTTGCTTCTCCAGAGAGGGTGTATGTGTATATATTCACCCTCCTCTCTTCTCTACAGTTTGGCATCTCTGTCAGGAGCACTTCACAGAAAAAATCTGAGAAACAATGGCTTAAGAAAATATTCAGGAAATCACCAGAAACACTAAAACACAAGATTCCATTTCATTTCAAGTTCACCTACTAAATAACCAGTACTGATCTTAGATTCAAATCCAAGGGCAACGGCATAGAACTACAAATAAGTTTCCTCCAACAAACCACCAAAATAACAAGTCATTAAGCATCATCTTGTGATAACAGATCAATTTTAATTCTAGCACCTGAAGCTATACAAGGGTACGCTTTATAAACTTCATGAAACTGTTGTACACATTCAATAAAGTGACAACTGTGCAATACCACTTAGTATCTCAAAATCAGGAACAAACTTTTGAATTGTTTAAACACAATCCACAGAATTAAAAAACAAAGTCGGAAGTCATCCACAGTTATACTACTTGTCAGTTAAAGGTTTTACCACTTACTACTTGATAGAACAGTCAATATCTAGTAGGGGATATTGGAAGTGATTTCAGATTCTCATCCTGTTGTACTCTATTGGGAAGGTTTATTGAGTAGCTATGTGACTGGCCAGAGGTGGGTACAACCAGGACCAGAACAGCATGTAGGATTCTACCACAGTTTTTGTAGTTTTCACTTTTTTTCCTCTTTGTCAGTTAAAAGTGAACAGTGAGAATTAAATACTTATCTTTACATATACACAAGGTATGCTGTGAAAGCATATTTGCTTACAAACATATAAAAATACTTGTTAACTAGTTTGATAAGAAAATAATGTATAAAAGTATATAGCAAAACATTAATCATCTCTGACCCTGGAAAGATCAATTCCATATTTTATATTACAAAACAAAAACAGTTTTAGTTTTTTGAATCCCTTATCCAGAAATACGTGAAAAGGAAGACAGACAGAAATTATTTATTTTTACTCTCAACATGGCTGTGAAAGAGAGTTAAATTAAAATACCAAGAACAGTGAAATGCCTAAGTCCAGAATGAGTCCAAATATTTGGCCACACAGAATATTATCTTTAAAAGTAGGAGTAACAGCAAAGGCTTTACACGCAGTTTTTAACCTATAAATACAATAGGCATTTTGGTATTTTGGCCACTGGAAAACAAAGGCTATAGCATCAGGAAAGGTCTGAGATGTCTCACGTTTGTGGATTCAATTCAGTGTATTTAAGGTTAACTAAAGTTGACATCAAAATTTTTAGAGATAGGCAAAAATTCACATTTTAAAAAACTCCCTATGTTTCTATTTAGAGTAACAGTAGGCAATATGATTCCAGAAGTTAAAAGTTATTTCACAACTGATGACTTCAGCTTGGCAAACAGCTTTGATTCCAAAACTGATTCATCCCTATTAAAAGTAAGCTTTAAAAAAAAAAAAAAGAATGTGTCTGTGTATATAGATATACATTTTAAAGGAATCAGATAATCTTTGAAGCAGCCTTAGTGTTTCCATTAAATCTGTCTTGAAATGACCATTGGATTAGCTTCATGGAAAGGATTAGCCAGCTTCTTGGTCTAAGGCTACCACGGTGATCATTTATCTAAGGCTAGAAAGGTACCAACATGATGTAAACTGTAAGGAGAGGAGGAGAAGATGAGGGCTTTCCTGGCAGTTGGTAGCTAAAATTCAAGAGATTCTTAGAAAATGACACAATGGCAGCCTTTCTTGTCTTTTTCTTTCCGTGTTGGTTCTGGTGAAGGAGGACATTCCTGCTCTTGAAATTTCCTGTAAGACAGAAAAATCTACAGATAATTGTCTTTTTGGTAATATATTGCTACAAATGCAGGTTACTTTTGGACCAATCTGGTTTTCGTGCATATGCATGTCGGTGTTAAGTTTCAATGAAGGAATCAAAGCCCATCGCTGGGGGCAGGGACATACAAATGCATAAGCAAACCTGTCTGAGCTTCATTTACGGGCAAGTCTTCAATTAGGTGAGATGCTGAACTCAACAGCCCCTCAGGTCCCTTCCCAGTTTGAAATTCCATGACTCCAAGTATCCTTCGGAAGGAGTATCAATAGAGTATCTGCCCTTATGAGGTAAGCCATTCCCATCTCGGTTCTGCCACTTTGTAGCTACAAGTCTGTATTAGAGAAGCTAGTTTCCTCTCTGAGCTGTGTTATAATAGGAGGGATAATAAAACCCTACCTATCACAGTTTGCTATGAGGACTGAAGATTTTTGTTTATGTTCAAATGTCTAACAGTCTCTGGCACAAAAAAAGTCTCCTTTACCCCCTCTTCACTCCTGACTGACTGATAAATACGGATCAATTCTGAGAACCAAAACCAAGGACAAAATATCTCAAAAAAGCAATAAAAAAAATTTTTTTAAGCACTGGTTCATATGGTAAAATACACATAAAATTTATCATCTTAACCATTCTTAAATGTACAGGGCAGTGGCTTTACATTTATTCACAATGTTGTACATCACTATTCACTTCTCAAATCTTTTCCAACTTGAGAAACTGAAACTCTACATGCCTTAAAAGAATAACAGAATTTGGGTTTTAACAAACTACTAAAAAAATAAAAAGACAATCTTCACTTCTTTTCCACCCCACAGAGAATGCCTTGAAAGGGGCTAAAAAAAAAAAAAGAAAGAAAAAAAAGTAAAATAGAAGCCCATAGCTCAGATGTCAATTCACCTTAGATGTACAACTAACAGGAACTAGGTCCATATACTTGTCGAACTAACTAGCAAAGAAACCAGCAGATCTAAGAAAAGAGGGTGAAGTAGGGGCCAAACCAGCAAACTAACCAAATCCCGCCCATTAAAGCAACTCACTCTTTCTCACACACACAAAAACTCCAGCCTATCTCACTCACCACCTCAAGCTTCCTGGAACCCATTAACACTTTCTGAATCACAGGGGCCCCCTAGGCCAGCTAACAGAAAGCCTCTGTGAAGTGTGGATATCATACTTCATGTCCTGCGGGACTGCTGAATCCTTAAGGCCTGGTTTCCTCGTAGCCAGCAGGGAATGGATGAGAAGCAAAGTTAAGAGCACACACAGGCTCTGGAATGAGAGACCCAGATTTAAGTCCCAGCTCTGCCATTTTAATATGCTCCAATCATTTAACCTCTCTGTACCTGTTTTCTCATCTCAGAGCGGGGGCATTATTGGGCTGTGGTGGGGGTTAACTGCAGTAATACACGCTAAGCACTTAGCACAGGATCTAACAAAGGTCACCATTCAAGTGTGAGCTGCTGTCCTCACTACCTTCATACCACCTCTGCCTTTGGAAGCTGCATTGGTTCTTTTCAAAATCTATGTGTACTCTACTTCAACATAATAAAATTAGGCTTTTTGGAAACAACTAGAATACGTACATAGTTAAAGTTTTAACATATTATGTCAAAAACGATTCCAAGAATCACTCCTACAATTTCCTCCTTCTTACTAAAAATATTTAATGGTGATTTTTTTTCCCCCAGTTAATTATTTTAAAAAGCACAGCATGACTACGCATCAAATACAATAAATTAAAACAAACATCTGGTATGTGTTCTGCTTACCTTATAACCCGGACAAGTTCATGGAAAGCTTGATCTACATTCATCCTAATCTTTGCTGATGCCTCCATGTATGTTACCTTAAGTTGCCGTGCTAATTGCTGTCCTTCTTCCTGTGTTACCTGAAATTCCAAGAGTTGTGTTTGAGGTACAGTATTAACAATTAGATCTGCTCTATCTACTGCTTGGCCACCGACTGCACTGTTAATCCAGCCAGAGACCAAGTTTGTCTGTCGTAAGATGAACCAAGATACTTAACAGCTTAACACATACTGCTGAAGCCCAGCTCGGCTCAAAAACGCAGAACATGACAGAGGCAAGGTGTTAGCCTAGTGATTACTCAAAAGTATTCAGTACAACAGTGATAAATACTGGCACGTATACAAAGAGGTATGAGAGTCTATAACCCTTCTAGGCAGGTCAGGGAAAGCCTCCCTGAAGAAGTGATATTCAGGTTAGGAACCAAACAAAGACTATGGAGTTGGGTCGAGGTGAAGAAGCATCCCTCTTATATGCAGAATCCAAAAAGAAATGATACAAATGAACTTATTTACAGAACAGAAACACACTCACAGACTTGGAGAACAAACTCATTATGGTTGCAGGCACTGGGGAGAGGATAAAGGAAAGGGATTGTTAGGGACCTGGGGATGGACATACACACAGTGCTATATTTAGAATGGATGACCAACAAAGTCCTACTATACAGCACATGGAACTCTGCTCAACAAAGTTATGTGGCAGCCAGGTAGGAGGGGAACTTCGGGAGAATGGATACATGTACATGTATGGCTGAGTCCCCTCACTGTCCACCTGAAACTATCACAGCATGGTTAACCGGCTACACCCAGCACAAAATAAAAAGTTAAAATAACGTATCCCTGACAAAGGAAATAGCAGGTGTGAGGGTGCTCCAAGTTCCAGGAATTGAAGAAGCCTAGAATGGCTGGAATACAGCAAGTCGAGAGAGAGCATAGCAAGCATCAAGAAGCCACGGATCTTCTTCCCATATGCATTCCCCAGTACTTGGTATACAGAAGACTCCCAATAAATACGTGGGGGAAAAAAAAACAATGAATAGGACCACACAACCTCATAATGACTTCCTTACATGAGGCAATGAAGGAAGGCAAGCATGGAAGGGTGGATTTGCTGATGACATATAAATGCCAGATCAGAATAAGAAAACGCTAACTGAATATAAGTAAATGTCCTATATGTGTTTTAAATGTAGAGGGCTAAAATATGATTATTATTATTGATATTTTACAGTTATATTTATATGGTGGGGCTGAAAATATGTATTTCAAAAAAAAAAGACTCACTGCTGCCATCACCACAAAAAAAAAAAAAAATACAGGTTAGAAAATAAGAGATGAGCAAAAGGTAAAAATAGAAAATTTAGGAATCTGTCATCCATACAGAACCACATTCTTCTCATCTTTTTTCAATGATATAGATTTTTCTCTGAAAAACCAGAATCATAATTTTTGTACCTTTATCTTAGACCCTGAAATTATGCTAAATCCACTTATCTAGGTGTTTTTTGTTTTTATTTTTGTAAATGCTACAGACTTTTTATATAAGCAATCATGCCATTTGTTAATAAAGACAGTTTTTTGTTGCTTTCTTTCTAATGTGGATGCATTTGCATTCTTTTTCTGACCCTTCCATATTGCCTGGAACCTCGAAGACAACAGTGGAAGGGGATACTTTTGATTTGTTTCTGATCTTAGGGACAAAGCATTTAGTCTTTCAGCATTAAATAAGCTGTACTGTTTTCACAATTCCATTTTATCATTTTGGTTGGCTAATGAACTAGGTATGTATTGTGTTATTTTTATAACTGCTTTAGTTTATAATATACATGTTTCACTTCTGTCTAATTCAAATGGAATGTCAATCCATGTATAGTTTAAGACTATTAACAGTGTGTTTCTTTCTTCTGATAATTTTTATTATTACCAACTACACTATTTTTGTTTTAAACATCCCATTATGTTTTAACTAGATTTAAGCAACAATAATAAAAGTAATTTATATTTACCCACATAAATGAGTAAAGGTGTTCTTCATTTCTTTGTATAGATCTAGATTTCCATCTGGTATAGTTTTTCTCTTTTTGCATTTTTTTAACGTAAGTCTGCTGGTAATAAATTCTTTCCATTTTTGTATATCTGGGAGAAGTCTTTATTTCACCTTTGCTTTTGAAATAAATTTTTAGATATTAACTTCTCAGTGAGTTTGCCACTCTGGTTGATTACAATATGAATTATTCCCGGCCCTATTTCAGCTCAAAGTATTGTTCCATCTATTCCTTTCATATAGCTTGTTCTCCTAATTTAATATTACATTCACAAAATTCAGCACCCTCAGTGAAATATCATTAGGATATTACATTAGCATGTATACATCTAACAATTACTTTATAACAGATTATACCCTGTTGTGTTTCAAAAGAGTGGCAGGCAGGTTCTACACAGCACTGGTATATGTAAGTTTAACAGTTTTAAATTTTACTCTGCCTCTCCTTCACAACAGTACATGTATTATAAGGCCTATGGTTTGAAATATAAATCAATCAAATGAAGCAAGCAATTAACAATGAGTAAGGAAGCCAAGTATGAAAAGAAAGCTTTGAAGAGCCACCAATTTAGAAAGGAAAATTCCTTTTTAAGAAAAGTTGACATGAAATTCCTTCCTACAAATAGAGCCTCATGTCAAAAATTCTGTTCCTTCTTCCTGGGATGTCCTCCCTTCTCTCCCAACTCTATACTAATTCATTTCATACTAACAATTCAAGACTTGAGCAATCAAAAACTTTCTTACTGTTGTTTTTTACAATATCCCAGAATGCCCATCACATTCTTTAATGACTAGCCAAAAAAGCCAACACACTACAATTTTTTGTTTTGTCTTCTCATTCTCCCACCATTATGCCATTTTCAGCTAAGCTGTGGTCTATTTGCCTTTGTACACCCAGAGCCTAGAAGAGCACATAGCAATTATTTAATAAATATACATTAAGGAAATAGAGTATGACCAAATACTTATGTCTCTCCTCATTTACTTTGACGGTAAAAATAAATATTTGAGACATGTCAATCTCAATGAATTACTTTATTAATATAAGGTAATTTGATTGTGGGAGGGAAATACACATCCTTAAGAATATTACTCCTCAACTAATAAAAATAAATGAGAAAAAAAAAAGAATATTACTCTTTCTGCTCAATTACTCCTCAGAAAGCTACCTTGCCCTCTCCCACCTACATGATGTAATTCAGCTGGAGGGAAACAGCAAATGACCCATTTTTATACAATTAAGAAAAATTAATGCATTAATAGTCTAGATGATTTTTTAAAAATGCCACTGCTAAGACTGTTTATGTGCTTCACTTGTTTGTTTGTTAGCATGGTCTCACATCTTCCTCGGTCTTCCAGGAACCGAGGTCAGCAAAGTTCACACACACGTTTCTGCTCAAGACATCTCTAACCACATATAGTGCTGCTTATGAGCTTATTGAGCATACTTTTAGTTAAGAAGTAAAAACAGCATCATCACCACAAAAGCAAAAAAATATGACAAAAAGAACACCACATGGAACAAAGCCAAAACACTGTGAAGCCAAAAATCAACAAAAAACTGAAAGACACATAAACAAGGATTTCCTGGAGGTTCCCCAACCGGAGAATTTTATAAAGATACCAAATCTTAAGCCTGGTTTTGGTAGATCTGAGTGCTGCCCAGAAATGTTTCATTTTAAACAGCCAAGGTGAACCTGATGCAAGAAATTCAGGTTTACATTTGGAAACCTCCAATGAGACTCAGTTCAAAGGCACAAATGAATCTTCGTGGAAATCCACAATAATACAAGTTTATCTAACACTATGTATTTTTAAATAGAGAAGAGCAAAATGGGAACGATGAGAGCAATTTTATCAAACAAATGGGGTTTAATAAGAATAGACTACAACATCTGCAATACTCACTTAAGGTTGTATTGAGTTAACAATACAACCTAAGTTTACAGAAGCAAAATTTGTTTTTCAAAAATATATATAATGTAGTCATTTTAATACCACATCTTGATTCACTGATGCCTTGATTCATTCCTTCAACAACTTTGTTCTATGTGCTAAGGATAAAATATGAACAAAACAAAGTGGTCAAAACTGAGAAGCCCTCATGGTGCTTACAAACCTTTTAGATGCAGACAAGGCACCAAAAGGTAAAGCCAGAAAGACGCTCGCTCTCCTGTTGTGGGGAGAAGCCCGTTTCCCTGGGAGGGTGCAGGGGCACGTTGTGGTCAAGGTGCGGACAGACAGGAGAAGGGATAAGCACACTGACGTAATACATTGTTACAGGTGAAATGGGTGCCCTTCTCAAATTACTGATGACAAGCACTTAACAAGGAGGAGAGGAGAAACTAAGCCAGGAGAGGTAAAAGGGAGAAAACCAAAACCACACAAAAAAGAGAGAGAGAGAGACAAAAACTGCTGATTTCTAGACCAGGCTGAGTCAAGGACAAGGAACCTGAAATCAGAGCTCCCATGAAGTTCACAGTCCAAGCCCACACACAGCTGCTGTATTAAATTTCAGAATTAATATGCTGTCATATTTAATAAGGTTTACATTTTAGCAAGGGCAAGCAAATCATTTACCTATATTTTCTTACTACACCTCTGACAGGATAAAAAAAATGATCAGTCTCTCTAAAGGCTCAGGTATGTGGTAATACCGCCATTCAAATTCTTCAGATCTCTTTTTATGTCAGGGATTTTGTTTTTTTCTGTCATCAGTGCCTAGAAAGTGTTCTATAAAAGCTGGATGAACAGGTGATGAAGAAGCAAGTCCAGAGACATACAGAAGCCAAAAGGAAGCAGCAAAGCCTCTTCCGGCTGATCTCCCCTCCCTGATGGGTTCAGAATCTCAGGAGCAGTAGCAGGGATACCCAGGGCTGACCCACATATAAAGAACACAGGGAACTGGCATTTGCTCTGTAAGAAAAACAGGACAGAAACTAGAGCAAGTCCAAAGGATCATGCCTAAGACAAAGGCAGGAATTAACAAGCTGACCAGCAGCTGACGGCAATCAGACTGGTGAGTGACTATGAGTCTAAAGAGATGGCCAACAAGTCAGCATTTCCAAACAAGGGGAAGTTTTTATGGGGTGCCTGTGGCCTGTCCAGGTTCGGCTGGTAGAGCAAGTAAGGATGCCAAGGTACACCAGAATATCACCTTTAATTCTGAAGAGGGTTTTCAAAGGTAAAAACCTTTAATATAGTATTTCAACTACTATGAGTAAGGCCCTCAAGGCTAGGAGGGGAAAGGTATGTTTGTACACCCAGGGCCTGGGAGAGAGTCTGCCTCAGCCCTAAGATACCTGACACAGACAAGGAGGTATCAACAAAGGGAGGAGGGAGGAGGCGCAGGGAATACTGCTCCGGAGCTAAGTAAACAGAGTGTTTCGAAAAGGAGAATGTGGTATCTGTGTCAAATGTTACTGACATCTGCGTTAAGCAGTGACCGTGACTGAGTGCTACATGCCTGCAGTCAGTGCCACAAAGGAAAAGTAGCAGAGAATGAGTGTATAGATAACACTTCTAAGAAGTTTTGCTTACTCAGAGGAGCAGCAAAAAAGTTCTTGAAGAGGGATGTGAGATTAGCACTTGCTATGGTTGCTGCTGCTGCTGCTAAGTAACTTCAGTAGTGTCTGACTCTGTGAGACCCCATAGATGGCAGCCCAGCAGGCTCCTCTGTCCAGAGGATTCTCTAGGCAAGAATACTGGAGTGGGATGCCATTTTGCTACGGTTACTTTTTGTTTTAAAGATGAGAGCACTGCACCATGTCTCAGGCTGATGGAAATGATCATGCAGGAGAGAACTGGAACACCTAGATAGAACTGCTGGGGTGATGCCCAGGAGAAGGAACAGATGGGCTCCAGTGCCTACCAGAGAGGTTGGTCAGAGAGGCGAAGTTTATCCACACAAGTGGGGAGAAGCAAAACTGATGGGGCACACGTGCACTTAGGTTAGTGCATGTGCAGGTGGGAACATGTAGAAGTTTCTCAGGGAAATAGGAAAATACCACTCATCATCAATCTGCTAAAAATGAGGAAGGGGAAGTGTTATAAACTTAAGAATGAGAAAGTATTAACTATCCAAACAAGCGGGAAATGAATGGACTAGGGAAACGTAGGAGGATTTCCAGTCAGCACTAAAGGCTCTCACATGAGAGCACTGATGACTGACTTCTAAGTGAGTTAGCTAACACCCCAAGTACGGGTGTGAAGGGTCCTAGAAAAAAAAGACGACGGAGCACGGGAGGAGTAAGATGTCTCTCTGTGCCTGCCCTTCAGAGAGGAGACCTACAGGAATGAGCAGAAAATTAAGCGGTCTTCAGCCATGTGGTTTTCTCCCTTGGATACATATACACATTTGAACCTTTCAGTGTTTACACAGTAACTAATGTCTATGCATCTGCTTTAAAGCCCAGAAATAAAGAACTTACTTCAAGTTCATTGTCTATCTTTGAGGTGATGAAAATATTCAACTCATTCCCAATACTGCTTCTCTTATCACTGTTATTTTACTGAGACTCTATTACTTTTATTAAAAAAAAAACACTTAAGATGAAAAATTTATAAATCTATGGTATAAAACAAAGCCAAAGTACCACGATATGTTAATATCTATAGACAGACGGAAACCACACTCCAAATACTGGCAATCTTCACTACATAAATGGCTTAAAAATAATTCATACTGATTCCCTGCCCCCAAGCTAACCATGGCAAGACTTGTTCTGGTGGACACACTCTCCCCTTCTCTGTTCTCCCTAATCTTGCCAAACGTATAGAAGACTCCCACCTCAGCCCAGGCCTGCCAACTTATTCCTTTACTGGAGTTGCCACCATGAAAAACCTTGAGAAAAACCAGGGCAGGAAATCTATCTACCAGCATTAGATATCGCAAGAACGCCCTGCTCCCTGCAGAGCTACTTTGCCATTAGTTCTCAGATCCAACAACATCTACAAATGTTTCTAGTACTAGAAAGGGCTGAGAAGGGCAGTAAAAAAGTCCTACTGAGCAATATTTAATCAATATAATTAGATTGAGAAATGCTGAAGAAAATGGTCACCTCAAGATAAAATATAAATTTTTTAAAAAAGATGGACTGTCTCCTCCATGTTTTAGGATGTGATCAATGCCATATCCTAAATTACTTTCAACAGTTTATACTGGTTTGAAATGAAGGTAGAATGTTTTCACCTTAACTTTATAATAAATCAGATCTGAAAGAGAAGTAGCGGTAAAATTTATTCTACATCAGGTAAACATTTCTAAACTTAGCTTTAAAACAGTATCATCCTCTCAAGTTCACGTCTAAAATTTGGTATACCTTCAACAAAACTTTACAAATAGAGCACACGAATCAAAGATTATGTATTAAATAATGGTTAATTACAAAATGGAAGTCTGTCCTCAATGCTGTTTGTCAATCCATTTTTCCTGATGTTTGCACTTTCAAACAAAATCTGTCAACAAAAGATTATGTCAACACCAAGATTATATAAAAAAAGGGAACTTAAATACCAGCAAAAGTTAAGAAAGTATTTAAACAACTGTATTCCAGATGAGGGGTAAAGACTAAAGACCTAAATAATGCAGCGCCTCCATTAACTTACATTTGATCTTGTTGCCCTTTCCCACAGAAAGATGAGTGGCCAATATATGCCAAAAATTTTAAAAAACAAATGTGAAATAACTGGGTAAAGAACAAGTGAGTATAAATAAGCTTGCAACTAAATACTAAAAATATTATTTTCCTGCAGCTTATTGGGCAATTAGAGCTGCCCATGTGATTAACAGGACTTAGGAAAAATTCAAATACTGTCATTTAAATTAAAATCATTCTCTAAATGAGGTAATTCAGCATTAACACTGAATTAGGCTACCCTGGTGACCCAGGTGGTAAAGAATACACCTGCAATTCAGGAGACCTGGGTTTGATCCCTGGGTTGGGAAGGTCCTCTGGAGGCAGGGATGGCAACCCACTCCAGTATTCTTGCTTGCGGAATCCCCATGGACAGAGGAGCCTGGTGGGCTACAGTCCACGGGGTCACAAAGAGTCGGACACGACTGAGCGACTAAGCACAGCACCTGACTAATTGTAAGAGCACCTGACTAAATGAGAGCTGTAAGTCTTACCTTAGAAGTTATAACGTGTGACTGGAGCTGGCATAAAATACGTGCAGGTTTACAGGCCACTGAAGTTCGGCGTAACATGTAAACTTTAAGATCCCCAAATCTACTTCCTTTTAACTTGTCACCTGTTACAGTGCTCCTACCAAATCCAGTGTGCCTCGCTCAGCACAGTGTTTTTGATCACGGCACTTTCTCATTAAATATAGCTGTTCACTTACATAATTACAAATAACTGGTTTCCCAAGAGCAAAACCCTCTCACCTGTCTCTGATGATCCAGGTCTGCTTTATTACCAATTAAAATCATTGGAAACTCATCACGATCCTTTACTCTGAGAATCTGTCTTTGAAACTTATAGATTTCTTCAAAACTAAAAACAAAAACAAATTCATTAATTTGATCAAGTATCAGAATTCAGACTCCCCTGCCCCATTTAGTACCTTCTTACTTTTCCTTTTCCTATACAAACAAGAATGCAAATTTAATGAACAGTGATCTAGACATGAACAGGAGAGATCTACAGTTAAATACTGATACAAACCTGCCTCTATCTGTGACTGAAAAGACCAAAAGGAAACCCTCGCCAGTTCTCATATACTGTTCTCTCATAGCTCCAAATTCCTCTTGTCCCGCTGTATCCAGAACTAAAGAAAAAACAAGAAATGTAATGATGTTCATGTGTTCATCTCACAAAAAAGGCTCCCTCACATGGGCAGGCCCAGTTAATGTGAATCCTTTGGAAAACATCACACTTGGTATAATTTTTTAAACAGCATTCCCCTTTTAGTACTTTATTTTCAATGCTAAAGACAAATGTATTCTAATGGGAGACAGTCGCAGAGTTATCTTCATCAGTGCAGGTTGATTTTGTAGTTAGAATACATTAGCATAGCAATGACAAGGTTAAAAATATCAAATCCATATAGGCAGACAGAGTCAGATAACCTCTGAAGTCACTTGGATGTTTACCTCCTCTATGAAAAGAACTGAAAAAGATACCTGTAAATTCAAAAAGGAAATGCTGGTGCACCCCCCCTCCCCAAAATATCATACTGAATGTACAGGTGCTGAGGTATTCATTGATCTCTGTGAATAAAAGAATCATACAAGTTAAAAGAAGAGCCCTTTCTCTTGTGGAGGAGTGGAATGCTTAGCCAAGCACAAAACACTATTGCTAAGGCCTTTGTGCTATAAACTCTAAGCAAGTTAGCAAATATTGAAGCTTTTCTATATTTACTTCACCCATTTTAGCCTTCATCAAAATGCAGGAAGAGCCAAAACCTCATTTTTTCCCCCCAAATGTCCCAATAAACACAACTTTAACAAGTCACAGTGACATGACTATTTTACCTGCTCTCAATCCAGTTATTGTTTTATATTACATTTAAATTGCCTAACATGTAGATTCATCAATTAAAACTAATGAAAAAGATGAACTTATATTCAAGATCATCTAACATTTCAACTGTAGTTATTTAACCTAGCAAAACTTCAAAGCTTACTTAAAAAAAAAAGTATATGTGAACCATCAAATAAAGGAAGATTACTTACTATCTAGCCGGGCTGCCCGGTCATCTATCACACACTGTTTTGTGTAGGAATCCTCGATGGTTGGATCATAATCCGTTACAAAATAAGACTGTAAGAAAAATAACACAATTTTAAAATTTATGCTTACTTGCCCAAGTACCAACATAACTTTACCCAGAACTCAAAATATTTTCACTGTATTAAAGTGTATCCTACTATTGTCAATTCCCTATTAAATGAAATCTATTCACAGCAGCTTCCAAGTGGAGAAAGGGTACTAAACATCTCTGAATTTTCACATCTGAAACATGTAAGAAGATAGTAAAAGTGCTACTGCAGTTTTTTCATTTTTCATAATTAACTTATATACACCTAAAACTCTAGATCTCAAGTTCCAGAAAAACTAGAAACACACCTTTAGCTGTAATTCAGGTCTATCTCCAACCCAAAGGCAGGCATCAGTCCTTAGAACAAACTGTAACAGTTTTGGAATGAAAGAGACAACACCAGGTCTGCCTGATTCAATGCCTGATTGTCTCTTCACTTTTCTCACACCTTGTCTTAGTTCCCTTTCAGTTGCCTTGTGTATTACCCTAAAGGACGTGGTTTCAGTATTTTTATTTAATCTGTATGAATCTCAAACTTATTCTTTCACTGATATTTTTGTTAGTTTTCCAACTATTTCCTCTTCTGTTAGCAAAGCCACCCAACCATCACCTTATGAAGTCATCACCAGAAGGAGGGCAGTTAAGACAGCAGAGGAAGAAGGGAGGAGTCCTAGCAAATCATTTAATGTTTGATTATTACATTTCACAATATTTTTAAAAGATTTTTAAAAGAAACCAGAAACACGCATCTGAAAGACAATTGATTTCCCTCTTCATCCAGAAGGGTACTACCTAGGACACTGATGTCAGTTCTGAGTGTCTCCCTTATTCTCCCTCTTGACTGACCTCCTCAAAGCCCATTTTGCCACTAACTCATCACAAAATCTGAGGGATGACTTGGAGGAAGCAGCTTAGTGCAATAAATGAGTGCTGAAGGTGTTCGGTCATTCTTCAGGCAAGGGCTCCTGGAAACTGAACCTGCTGGCTCCAGGGACACATCGTTCTGAAGAGACAACCCCAGCATGGTGAGCTGTGCACACACCAAAAAGCCACGTAAAAGTAAGCACTCTGAACAGGGCAGCAAAGAAACTCCTCCTCTGGGGGCAGAGGGGGAGGTGGCAGGGACTACCTGCTTGCTACCCTGACTTTACATATTTAATTTTGAATGATACTTCCTATTTTTTATTTGTATTTTTGGAGTAACTTTAGTTACACAGAATTTAGCCATAAGTGGCTTCATTTAAATGATCAAATTGCCAACATCAGTTGGATCATCAAAAAAGCAAGAGAGTTCCAGAAAAACAACTTCTTCTGCTTTATTGACTACACCAAAGCCTTTGACTGTGTGGATCACAACAAACTGTGGGAAATTCTTAATAACATGGGAATACCAGACCACCTGACCTGCCTCCTGAGAAATCTGTATGCAGGTCAAGAAGCAACAGTTAGAACTGGATATGGAACAACAGACTGGTTCCAAATCAGGAAAGGAGTGTGTCAAGGCTCTATATTGTCACCCTGCTCATTTTAACTTATATGCAGAGTACATCACGCAAAATGCTGAGCTGGATGAAGCACAAGCTGTAATCAAGATTGCCAAGAGAAATATCAATAACCTCACATATGCAGATGACACCACTCTTATGGCAGAAAGCAAAGAACTAAACAGTCTCTTGATGAAAGTGAAAGAGGAAAGTGAAAAAGTTGGCTTAAGGGGCATCTGGTCCCATCACTTCATGGCAAATAGATGGGGAAACAATAGCAACAGTGAGAGACTTTGTTTTCTTGGGTTCCAAAATCACTGCAGATGGTGACTGCAGCCATGAAATTAAAAGACGCTTACTCCTTGGAAGAAAAGCTATGACCAACCTAAACAGCATATTAAAAAGCAGAGACATTACTTTACCAACAAAGGTCCGTCTAGTCAAAGCTATGGTTTTTCCAGTAGTCATGGATGGATGTGAGAGTTGGACTACAAAGAAAGCTGAGCACTAAAGAACCGATGCTTTGAACTGTGATGTTGGAGAAGACTCTCGAGAGTCCCTTGGACTGCAAGGAGAGCAAACCAGTCAATCCTAAAGAAAATCAATCCTGAATATTCATTGAAGGACTGATGCTCAAGCTAAAACTCCAATACTCTGGCCACCTGATGCAAGAACTGACTCATCTGAAAAGACCCTGGTGCTGGGCAAGATTGAAGGTGGGAGGAAAAGCGGACGACAGACGATGAGATGGTTGGGTGGGATCACTGACTTGATGGACAGGAGCTTGAGTAAGCTCCGGAGGTTGGTGATGGATAGGGAAGTCTGGTGTGCTGCGGTCCATAGGGTCGCAAAGAGTTGGACATGACTGTGCAACTGAACTGAACTGATTTTTTTTTTTTAATTACCAACAGGAGCAGCTTTAAGTAGAAAGCCATTTCCATCACCACCCCATCCCCATTTTAAAATAAACAGATATCAAAACAATCTTTGAACTGACTCTCTGGAACCCACACCTCATCTAAAAGCAAATACAACTGGCAACATATTCTTTGTACCCACTATTATAAACAACACAGAAAGCAGTCTTTCACCAAACAACCTGGATAAAGCACAGTATTTAAATCTTAAGGTAAGTTTCCTGAATCATGTTTCTCCATAGTAACTTGACACTTCCTGCCATGCTTTCATCTTGTAAAACCTAAGCTTCATTGACTACTTCCAAGTTATCCCTTAATGTGCCAAAATGACCCTCCCAGTTTGTCTGAAAACACAATGGACAAATACTAAGTATATTTTTTTCAAATGTTCAAGTCATGTATGATAGCTCAAATTCTTCCACTGTGATGGGTTTCTTTGCATTGTGATACTAAATGAAGAAAATAACACATATAGAGAACTGTTGGTTTAAGCAACACTAAGGGCGATTGTTTTTCCTTTCTGTGACTATGGAAGTTATATATTTTCTTTAGATGTCTTGGCTCTTGAAATACAATCTTAATGTTATAAGAATTTTGCCTCTTCACCAACACTGGCATGCAATTATTCCACTCATTAATGTTTAAGATAAGTTAACTGTTGCACTTTCTGGATATTTAGGTCTACATTTCATCTTTGCTGTGTCCTATTTTCCAAATTTGCAGGGACCTTGCTGTATGTAGATTTTAAAGAACCATCTTCACTAAAAGCATCATTGCCCCTCATAAGAGATTCATCTTAAGGAACATTACTCTGTTACATAACCAAAGACCCCTTTCCCTCTCACAATTCTAATAAGCCACAGGTCATAATGTGCCTAAAAATAGCATTCATCACGTGCAGGTAGCAAAGATAAATCATCACCTCCTATCCCAAAGACTTAATATTTTTGTTACTTAAACTTGGGTCCCAGATATTTGAGGCAGCAGATCACCAACAGGAAATCAGTCTCTGGTGGTGGAGAGTGCTGGATTTAATTTTAACTCTACTACTTCCTAGCTGTGGAACCTAAGGCAAATTACCTCTTTAACCTTCAGCATCTGTAAAACAGGATAGTAACACAAGTTCATGGAATGGATAAAATGAAGTAATGAACATAAAGTGCCAGCACATGCTGATGACCAATAGATGTTGGTCAGTGTATTGTTCTGTCATGTAGTTAAATGGTATGAACTAGAGTTTTTACTCAACTGAAAAGATGAGCTAACACCAGGAACGGCTATTGTAATTCCAATCCTAGTTATATCACAGACTAGACTTGTCATCCAAAATGCTGTGAATCAAGATAAAAGCTCCCCACCTGAAGTTCTGGAAATATTTCTTTGGATTTGAGCAGTAATTACGCAAGTATATATAATAACATTTGTAAAAACTCATCAAGCTGTACATTTAAGATATGTGCATTTATGTATGTATACAAACTATACCTCTATAAAATACATTAATGGCTCCCCGTTGCTTCTAGGCATCAGGACTTTCTTTACACAGTTCACAAAGCTCTCCAGTTTGATGTGTGTTGTTCACCAAAGTGCTATTCTTCACTACCTGAATCCCTTCTGCTGATTGCTCTTGCTCTTGGTTTCATTCACTTGTTCAACAATTATTTATGGGGCTTCCCTGGTGGCTCAGATGGTAAAGAATCCGCCTGCAATGCAGAAGGCCTGGGTTCGATCCCTGGGTGGGGAAGATCCCCTGGAGGAGGGGCATGGCAACCCACTCCAGTACTCCTGCCTGGAGAAACCCCTTGGACAGAGGAGCCCGGCAGGCTAGTCCATTGGGCTGCAGAGAGTTGGACACGACTGGGCGACTAAGTGCGGCACAGGGGCAAGGTCCCTACTCACAGAACCCACTGCTTTTCACACACCCAGCACCTGTGCTGTGATTCGGACAAGGGGGTGGGAGCATTAAAGGTATCGGCCGAAGAACAGAAATAGCACGAAACGCCAGTAACATGCTTTTTCAGAAGGCAACCAAGTGTAAGCAGTTAACGCTGCAGGAATACACGAGAACTACGTGTACCTTCCTGCTGCGATTCATGGGGTCGCAGAATCAAGACAGGACTGAGCGACTGAACTGACTGAACTGATGTGTACCTTCACTTATAGAGTCCCAGCAGTTTGAGGGAAAAGAAAACAGTCGCTCCCCTGAGGCTGAAAAAAGATACCAACAGCCCAAGATGGACATTTTGTAGCAGGAAGCATGGAGAGAAAACACAGTATTGCATTGTGGAAGACAGCAGAGGCTCCAGAAAGGGCAGGAAAGGCCAGTGGACTAGAGCTCAGCCCACTCAAAGTGGGATTGAGAGTCACGGTGCAGAAAGCAGTGTGCTTTCCTGAAATCACAGGAAAGAATGCATGCAGAAGGATCCCAACTGGAAAGAAAGGAATACCTCTTTTCAATAAGGTGGGATGCCTTCCAGGTAGTAAGAAGGGCAAATGTGGGCCTAAGTCTCTTTAAGATTGCTTGGAGTTATGGAGAAACGCTTAAGATTAGGGAAGCTGTCCCATTCAGACAAGGAGATTTTCCCGTAAAATATGGTCTGA